ATGTCCAACAAACTTGGACAGTGGTGATTGAAAGATGCCTGCATACTCACCATGACCCCACACACGTGCACATATATATAAATAAAGAAAATATCCTGTTAGCTCACGAGGTGCGTCTTGATAAGAAGAATGATCGTCTAAAATTTCATGTGACTTGGATTTGTAGAAAAATTATTAAAATTATATTACGAAATGAGGTTGTGACTGCTAGACAATCTGGGCCTTGGGCCGTTGGGCTAATACTATAGCTATCAGCTAGTGGACTAACCTCAAATTCACACACACAAATACATATATAAAACACTTGTTTCATATGGGCTAGACCGCATTTGTACAATATGCAGTCCATAGGTATACAACATCCATGCAAATAGGTGGTCCATCTAAAAACAATTGTAAGTAATGATCCAAATGTTTTTTACTATAATTATTATTTATAATTTTCAAAATTTATTTATTTTCATATTCATGATTTTCATGTTAAAGATTATATATTATCTAAAACTTAAGATCAAATTATATTTAAAAAATATATTTATTGCTAAACCCGCATTTGTACATGTGCGGGCTTAGCCGCATGCTAACCGCGTCCATATATAAAAGCCAAATTCATGTGGCTTCATAAGTCTAGGAACTTGGATTATATGTCAATCAAACATAGGTGGGTGGAGTCAGCATCTAAGCATTTGATGCGACCCTATCCAAATTAGACTCACCATCTGTGGTAGTAGATGTTTTAGAACTATCACATTTGCATGTCGTATATATAACTAATCATTTCCCTAAGTACAAATACTTAGCTTAAAGCAAGTTAATAAAACATTTTTTCAATAGAATCATTCTAATAAAGAGACTTACCTAAAGGTAGAACCGCAATAGTCATGGGGAAGGTAAGGAGAGCTTTTCTTCCCATCTCATCTGAGAGTTTCCCCACAACTGGTGTCACCACTAGAGTTCCCATGCCTGTCATCTGAAAAATCAAAATTTTAACACACAAAACCCTCAACATCTCTAAATGAAAAGCAAGTTTGGATGGAAATTTACCATTGAACCTAGCAAATAGCACTAGAACTTCAGGACTTCTATGCAAATTTAAAATTTGAAAATTTGAATTCATATTTTAAAATTTCACCCAAATTTATGTGTCTTATTCTAAATTTTAATTTTTTGAAAATTTGAATTCATATTTTGAAATTTCAGCCAATTTTTTTGGTAATTTAGTAGGGAAGACAAGTCCCTACCCTCTTTTTCAATAGATCAGGGAGGTACATTTTGAAGGTGTTAATTGGGGGAAAAAACCAATAAGGATTGTATACAATGAAACCATTTTTCCCAGAGGTCACAATTATTTATAGTCATTGGATGTGAAATCTGATAGTTTGGGTTTGTCACAAATTTCGAAAAATATTTTTTTGAACTTTAAGCTTGATCAATGACATAAATACAACCACCCATCTTGTACAAAAAGTAAGTGGTCCTGTTGTATACTTTTGCAAAAAAATAATAAATAGCCAAAGGAAACACTGATATTATTAATATGAATTCATTAATAATAAAAAAACAAAGGGAAACACTAATATTATTAAATCATTTACGTCTACAAATCACTTAACATATTTTTTAGTGCGCGTGAAAGTGAACATAATATTGTTTAGTAAGATCTTAAATTAAGTTTAGACTTGCATAAAGCATAAATCCAAGATCAAATCCAATAGCGTCAAATTGCATTTATTTGGTGGGCCCGTTGTTTATCGATGGGATAATTGTGGTAACCACAAAAGTCCCCAATTCATTTGCATATAAATCCAAGAACAAATCCAACAGTATCAAATTGCATTGTGTTTGGTGGGTCTGATGTTTATCATCGGCCCCAATTCATTTGCATCGAAATGGACGGTTGACGTCTTAGGTAACATGTTCCAAGAATGTATCCTAGGAATCTAGCTTCACTATTTCTTTGTAAAAATTAATCACCAATTAATTCTCCAATATAGTCAGAATACCACTTAATTATTATGTTATTTAACGGAGAAGGCCTACGATTCACGTTTCCCACTACTTTTTTTGGAGAGAGAGGGAGAGAGATAAGCATATGCACTTTTTTGTGTGTGTGGGAGAGAGAAAGAGAGAGAGAGAGCATGCACCTATTCCTGGGTGTCTTTGTGTGTGTCTATCACAGTGAAAGCTTGACAATTTGCAGTGCTACTAGGCTCAATTCTTATTAAGGATAGAGGCCCTTTCTCACCCAAAGAAAAAATGATTTTTAGGAAAATAGCGTAGCCTTGTTTGATTTTGTTAGCGCTTGACGATTTACAACGTTACGTTTTAGGCTCAATTCTTACTCAGGGTAGGGGCACTCTCTCCACTGACATCTGAAAAAAAGAGAGAATTAACAAGAGAGAGAGCATGCACGCATGTCTTTATGTGAGAGAGAGAAGATGTGCATACCACTTGCTGCAAGCCAGTCAGGTAGATAACCGCACTGCATTCATCCCGCCCGGGGCACACGGCCGCCATGGTAACATCTGTGATGACTGGAATCACCATGAAAGAAGCAAAATAGTAAAGGAACACACTCACAAACAGGTGCCCAAGCCCTTCATACTCCAAGTATTTCCCCACCATTTTTCTTCTCACTCCTTACTCCTAATCATCTCTCTCTCTCTGTATCTGGGGGAGAGGAGTGAGGCCAATACAAGGAGGGAAACCCTTCATAAAGTGGTAAGGTGAAGAGGGTTTTCCTCTGGTTTGAGCAACTGTCCCAGTGGATTATGAGCCAAATTTAAATTCTTTAGCTCATGTCACTTTTGGTGCCACAATTTTGTGGCTTTTTTTTTTTTGCCAATTATCATGTAGCCAAAAAGAATGTGGCTATTGTTATTTGATGTTCTATGCCTACTTTAATTCCTTGTGCATTCAACTTTCATAAAAATGAGATATTTTATGATGGATTAGAAGATTTTGGGGTATAGTGAGGCATTAAATGCTGAATAAAAAGACAGAATATCTATAAATGGAGAGTTACATGTAAGAGAGAGAGGGAGAGAGAGAATGGTAGGTGGAGAGAGAGAGAGAGAGAGAGAGAATGAATGGTAGGTGGTGCGATGGTGCGGCATCCTCCCATCTATTTCATGCTTATTTATTTCCATAAGCGACCGAAAAGAATGGGAATGGGAATGGGAATGGGAATGGGAATGGGAATGGCGTGAAGCGGTAGAATAGAGTCGCTTCTACGTGAATTCCATGGATGGTAAAGTTCACCCTTTTTACATTGTTGTTGGGATAAGGTTACTGTGAGTCCCCGGACTCATATGCAGATATGCGACCTCCTTTAATAATCTATTTTTGAAATATATTTTGTCCTTAATTTTTAGGGCATATAATCCCTAACATGGAGTGTAAAAAAAACAAATTAAAAAAAAAAAAAATTTTGAAAGAGTTATTCAAATAATAATAATATTATTATTATTATATATATTTTTTTTGAGAAAAGACCATCATTTACATATTCGGATGGATGGGGAATGTAAATATAGAAATGCATCCCCGCGACACATAGAACACTTTTCCATGGTTACACTGCAAATGTGGCCTCACAATTCAAAAGCTACCACCTTGCTTTTTTTTCTTTTTTCTTTAATACCCTCTTTCCTTCAAAGGAAAGGGTCGTGAGGACACTTTTTCCTTTCTCTTTTTCTTTTTCTTTTTTTTTCTTTTTCTTTTTTGCTTTTTCTTTTTTTCTTGAGGAGATAGATTTTGTGATTGACGACTCTCCAAACATTGCTAAAACAAAGGCGTACAATATGGTCTTCGTCATCTAATTTATTTGGTGTGTATCGTTTGTGAATAAAAGTGCAGTTAGAATAAGGCTCCGGCTTTACATTAGAAAATAAAGGTTGCGGTTTGTATAAAACCGAGGTTCTAAACATTCAAAGTAAAGCCTACCGTTAAATAGTGGCAAGAAATATAGTTTTCAATACTGGAAATCTATGTAATAGTCTTAAAATATATTTTTATATTTAATTATAAAATTTAAAGCCTCAAAAATAGTGTAGATCGAGCATATCTATAAAAACTTGAAAATTTACGATAAAAAAATGTGTTACAAGATGAAAACTATTTCGAAAACTTGAAATCCATTTTTTTCTCATGTCCGTACATCTTGATGTTGAGAAGATCAATTGGAGGATATTTGGACATCAAAACAACCTCTCTTAGTGAAATTTTTGATATGGGCTCTAATTTGATTGTTTAAAATCTTGGCTCTATTAAAATTTTTCCTAAAACAGTATTTAAACAAGAAACTTTTAGGTCTGAAAAATTATTTTCATTTGTACTTTTAAAATTTGAAGCTCCAAAATTGGGAGGTCAAGCAAGTATGTAAATATTTAAAAGGAGATAGTGTAGATAATGTGTTACAAAAAACCTTATTTTAGACCTTAAAACTATTTTCTTTTAAATCTACAATTGGTAATATTGAAATGATCAATTTGAGGTTTCCTGCTACAAAAACTATTTTCCAATGAAGTTTTGAGGAGCAACTTTACTTTTTATCGTAAAACCTAGGCCTCTTATAAAACCTTATAAATACTACCACATTAACCAAGGATTTCGATAGCACTTGCCAAAAGTACCATAGTTACATAAAAAGGGTGTGGTTTCTAGAAGGTTCCAACCTTAACCTAATTCAATGAGTAACATTATCACGTGTGGTCACAAGGCCTCACCCTGCCTCACCTACTTTTTTTAGGCTTTTTTTATAGGAAGAATCTCATGTGTATTTATTTTAATATTTATTCAGTGGTAAAGGATTTTGTTAAATGTAATATATAAAGAAATAATTATTTTCTCAAAGTTTTTTTCTATCTATCGTTAAAATATTTTGTTAAATGTAATATATAAATAAATAATTATTTTCTCAAAGTTTTTTTTCTAACATTCAAGTAAGATGAGGATAGATAACCATGAGATATGAGAATCTGTTTCTTTCTCATAGACCTGTTGAGAAATGGAACATTGAGCCCATGTTCCTTCCTATAAATATCGGAAGTTAGAGAGATGAGAATAACAACCAAAATCAACTGAGCTCGTGTGTTTATAGAAAGCTTTTATTTTCTTCTCTCTCCAAAGCGTTTCTGAAATAAAATTTGAGCTTTGTGATCATCAGCCTTCACATCTTCTCAGATCCCAGCTTCTGTTTTCTCAAGTAGGGTTTGCTTTACTTAGGGGTGGCAATGGGTCGGGTCCAAAACATGGACCCATACCAGTACCCGTTGGGTCCCGGGTCTAGTCGGATCCATTGTTACCCTCTAATCATGAGCTTCATTTTTTTTTTTTTTTTTGCCATCATATATCCATATTATTGGCAACAAGGTCACAATCATCCGCCATTAGATTCCAAGCCATATGATTTGTCGTTTAATAACTAAAAATGACTACAAGTTCTTATTATATACTACTTTGAATACATCCAAACGAATTAAAATAAAATATTTTATCTCCAACAGTTTGCAAGACGGGTCGGATCCAACTGGACTTGGACCCAAACCCAAATAGTGTTCGGGTCCAAGTTTTGAACCCAAACCAGCCCGTTAGGTTCAAAAACCGAAACCTATACCAAGAACCGGGGTCGGGTCTACCTTTTGGGTCGAAGGTCTGGTAATAACAAAACCAAAACTCTCCCTCCTCAATCATTAACAAATCAATCGTACGGCTCGTCTAGGCCCTACCCATTCATTATGTTTTCCTTTTCTTCCTTCCTAAGGATCACATGGGATCACCCCTCTACAACTTCCTTCTTTATTTTTTGGTTTTTTACCTCTTAAACGGAAACCATCTTACTTGCAACCAAAGGTTGTCGTCTCTCTCCCCTAATACATTGTCCATGTTTTAATAGTATATAACTTGTTTCTCTCTTTATTTTAGGGTTTAATAATTAAAAAAAAGGGGAGCTTATCAATTGACTCCAACAATATCTTCTTTCTAGATTGCCACGTTTTATAAGCGGCAATTTTCTTTAGCACCAGTAACCACTAACCCTGTAAGCATTAGGGAGCACCAAATGGCAGGCACCTATCACTTTTTTTTTCTTCTTTTTTTGGCATTAATGTTATCAAGCCCGCTCTAGAGTTGCTTATTGGCCAGTTATCAAAAGGGCGCCCCTCGTATTATCTAAGAACTCGGCCTCTCATTAAAGGCTGTCGTTACCACATAAGGTTGCAACCTTAAACACACCCCCAAATTTTATCATGTAATTTTGGCCTAAAAAATTATTAGGATTATTTGAAAATCTATTGTCACATATAACTATAAAATTTTAAATTTTAAAAATAGTTAAAATCAAGTAGATCTATAAATATATGAAAATCTTGAAAATTGACAGTCGTAAGATTTACTCTTTCCGGGAATCAAATCTTTTTTTTTTTTTGTTTGTCATATTCATCCATTTATATGTTGAGATGATCAACTAGACGGTTTTTCAACATTAAAACAACCTTCTCCGATGGATTTTTGAGGTGTATCCATATTTCTATATTTTAAAGTTGCAACCTTGTATAAACTTTTTCCCTCATTAAACATCATTATATTTTGGAAATTGTCATCATTGTTGTTGATTTAATTTTGCTTCATGAGATTAAATTTGGTTATCATTATTATACATTATTTTTCCTCTCATATATTATACTCCGATACATGTGCTAGATGCTGAAATTCGTTAATTTCTAGTTCCAATTGTGAGATAAGTTCAATTATAAATACTTCTTTTAATTTTATCCCCAAAATATCTAGCTCCTTTAATTTTGGAATAAATTGATAACTGATACTATCCCACTTTGTTACAAATATTGACCACATATTGTATATTTTGGTGGCACTTGGTTAGTTTCTTTAATTTTATATTGCTTAGAACCTAGAAACTATTTATGCTGCTCATACATAACTTAGCAAATGGCTAGTAGAATTGTTATAGTTGACATTAAGTATTATGGTTACTATCCTCTATGAAGGTGGGAGTCTATTTAAGATTGTGGAAACTTGCATGTGCTCGGGAACTTCATTCCCAGCAATGGCTAAGTCATTAGCCGTAACAAGCATTTTGTTTATGTGCTCCAATACATTATCATCCTCATTCATTTTAAATGAGTTAAATTGGGAGCACATATTACCCTCATTCATTTTAAATGAGTTAAATTGCTCTAATAGCAATTGGAGTCGAGTTTAAGATGTTGTGTCGTATTTTAGTTTTATTGTATCTAGTATTTTCCTAGGTGTTACATAATATTCGAATTCTTAATGAGGTCATATTGCATAAAAGTTAGCATTGAAGTATCAGCTATGATGTCATCTTCTAATAATTTTTCTAACTTTGTCTTTTCTTTTTCAGTTGGTTTATCACCAACTACTAGTGGATCTTCCTTTAGTACATATAAAATTCTATATTGGATGATGATAAATTTCATCTTCCTCTTCCACTTATTCAAATTCGTTCCAGGTAGTTTTTCAATTTTTTCGAGTTCAGCTATAACAATTCTACTAGCCATTTGGGCCAAATCTCTAACTTTAGGGGACCTCCCGATGCAACTAGCATTAGAACAAGAACACATAAAAAAAGATAAAAAGAGTGGGCCCATGCTTGCTCAAAGACCTCCAAATCTAGCCAACCCAAACCTAACAACCAAAAATTTCAAAGAAAGTTTAATAAGAAGAATAATGAGTTCAAGAATAAAGGAACCAAGCCCTACAACCAAGATGCTAAATAAGGACCGCCAAAATGTTTCATACGTGGTCTCCCAAGTTATTTAAAAAATTGTTGCTCATAGAACAAAAACTTGCCAATTCCAAAGCATAGTGGAAATGAGAGTAGGATGCGTGAACTTGTTTATGTGGTCTCAGAATACTTGCTTACAGACCATGACATCAAAAAATGGTAGGTAGATACATGCACTAATCAATGGCAAGCTCAAACAATCTTTTCAAGGACTTCAAGGAAATAAAAAGTGGGGAGAAACACATCTACATGGGGAACTATACTTATTATGATGTATTAGGTGTATGAACATGTAGGTTTTATATAGAGGCAGTCGATCTTGTACTCACTAATGTATATTTTGTATCTAGTATGAGGCAAAATATAATATCTGTCCCCTTAT